GAGCTCAGAAACTAATCGACTGTGAGTAGTAATAATCAGATATATAGGGATTAGAAACCCATGTGCAAATATCTTAGTGTTGATTGCATTAAAATGAATTTTTCTGTATGAAACTGTGTATTTTAATAAGGAAATGGAGATCTTTTTTAAAGGTTAAAACCTCATTTAATTTCATGTGTTATAGGGTTTATACTGAGTTCAATATTGTATAACTGTAATAATTCAACTGTAAACCTAAATATTTACAGCCAAATTTGAAAGAGATGCATCCTACCTCAGGAAAACGTTATTGAATATGTCAATTGTGTTGTAATGATATGCTTCTTCTAAGTATGTTGTTATTAAATAAATCATTTTTAAAAATAAAAAAAAATGAAAAATGTGGTGTATATGCAAAATGGAATTGTATTCCTTACCATAAAGGAAAGTGAAATAATGATGTTAAGTGAAATAAGTCAGACTCAGAAAAACAAATATGGCATATTTTCTCTCATATAGAGAACCTACACTAATTTCTCTGGAGTGAGGGAGCATAGGCCATGAAAGTAGAAAAGGGACCATGGGACAGGAAGAAGACCTCATAAGTGAAAGATGGAAAGGGACAAAAAGGGTAATGGAATACATGTGACATGAAGTCAGAGTGGCTAATGGTAGGGGGAAGGTAGAAGAGAGGGGCAGGATTAAGGGAGGGGAAGTAGTAAGAAAGTGGTATAAATATGCTATAATGAAACCTTTGTACGTTAACTTTAAAAACTAATTTTTTAAAAGAAACAAAATGAAAAGAACCTCTCCATGGTAATACAAGATGGACACTTGTAAAATTGACAAAACTCTTATCTGAAATACACCATCAACTCAGTGAGGGGAAAAAACTGTTTCTTAGGTCCAGTCTCTAACAAAAAGGAAGCAATGGCCTTTGATTAAGCTCTAAACGTGTTACATACCAACACTGTACATTGCAAAATATTAAAAGACCTAAATCAACAACAAAAACTACCATTTGCAAAGAGTAACTAAAATTTTGAGAAAACAGGTTCACTGTATTTTGGAATGCAAGAGTCAACAACTGATCTTTGGTTATGTACAGTAATAAGTATATACAGTATTCACTGAATTAGGAAAAATATGAATGGGTATTTGTGGAGGCTTGCCAAACCCAAGTTTCTACTCTATTCCAGTTATTCTCCAATCATTTCAGCACAGTAATTAAGTCACCCATCTTCCAGTGTCATTTCTTTGCTGTGAAAAAATACCCTGACAAAAAGCAACCTAGGGGAGAAAGTAGTTTACTTAATTTCACAATTTCAGGACAGAGTCCATCATCACATTCACATGCAAGACCAGAGAGAAATGAATTCATGCACACTTGCCTGTGCCCTGATTGACATCTCCACTCATACAATTCAGTACCTCCTGCTTATGTAATGATGCCACCCACAGAGGGCTGGGACTTCCCAGGTGAAATAACTCAAGACAATCCCCACAGACACACAGACATGCCCACAGGCCAACTGAACTAGACAATCCTTCATTGACACGCTCTTCCCAGGTGATTCTAAATTGTGTCAAACTGACAATTAGAGTTAACCACCACACTGCCCCCGAAACTTCCCCATTTTCCTCACTGTTCTCTACATTCAGTCCTTGTATAAGCTTTACTCAATTTTCCTATTTTTCTGCAAGCTCATAATTCAGGAAACTGAACACTAAAGCAACATTTTGCCAATGATTGTACATACACACCCAATTTAACTGTCTTTGCTTTTTACAACTTGTACAGTTATGACTATCCATCTTCTTTCCCTTCTCAAAACCATGCCTATATATTGCTGCTTGTTAAGACTGTTGATGATACATTTAAATTAATAGCAAAAATATATCCATTAGTAATTCTGAAGAAAATAAAGACAACTACTATCAAATCTAAGCCATTGAAAGTACCCAGAAAGCCTCTTTACCATTTCTAGCCACCTTGTCTTTCTCTATTCAAACTGTGTTTTTCCTTAAGCATCAGTATTCAAAATAAATGAACTATTTTTGAATGTCCATTTTCAAACTGAGCTCCTAGTTTAAAAAGAGCATTGTTTAAAAATTATAAAATAATTTGGGCTTCTAAACAGTTCAAAAAGCAATTTTAAAAATGCAAGCGTTACCATTTCCCCGGTCTAAGATGTAAGAGGTAAAGAGCCTCTGACACAATCTTATACATACACTGTCATCTGCTCCTTGTTCCCCTAAAATAACTAGCACTGATTATTCACAAGATCTTTCTTTGCAAAGGTAAAATTTTCAGTCATGGAATGGATTAATACCTTCTGATGGCTATTCCTGAAACCCCATCACTATTTGTAATATTGTTTCCATGGAAAAACATGCTGGATTGTAAATAACAGACTTATACACACTTCTGAAATAATTCCTTTTGTAAATTCGAGACTATCTCTTAAAACCCCAAAGGCTAAGAGCAAAAATATCTCCTCAGTCAAACTGGAGATAGGCAAAGAAGAAAATGTTAATTCTGTGAAAACTGACTTGAAAACTAAAGGATTACATTAGGTAACTTCTTGGGACCTTTGTAACTCTGAAATTCTGTGTAAAAATATTTTATTTATTATTAGTGTATGTGTGTGTGATACAATGTATATGGAACTCAGAGGACAACTTGCAGGAGTTGGTTCTCTCCTTCTGTCATGTGAGCTCTGGTAATCAAACTCAGGTTGTGAGTCTTGGTATAAAGCACCTTTACCAGCTCAACCATCTCACTGGCCTGAAATTCTATAATTTTTTTTATGTGTATCAATGTTTTGCCAGCATGTATGCAAGTATACCCATGCATGCAATGTCCATAGAGGCCAGAAGAGGGTGTCAGATCCCCTGGATCTGTTTGACAGGATGTGGGTGCTGGGAACCAAACCACAGACCTCTGAAAGAGCAGCCAGTGCTGTTAACCAGTGAGCCATCTCTCCAGTCCTGAAATTCTATAATTTTTATGGAACGACATATAAAGTCTATCATTAATTGGATTAAAAGAACTTAACTAAGTAGACTATAATTTATTTCTTCAATAAAAATAACACCTGATTTATAATATCATCCCACAAAGTAAGCAACCATGTAACTACTGAAGATAACAGATGTAACATGCAGAGTATCAAAGAAATTCAATATACAGAAAATGGCAATCTGCCAGTACATTTTAGGAGGCAGGAAAGTTAAAATGCATATGCTGAAGACTTGTGTTTATTTCACCTAAAAAAATTAAGACATTCAGGAAGAATTAAAAATTAAGGGATCTGTGATTTCTGAGTATAGCGTACACTTTGCTGACATTAACAGAATTCATCTACTACTAATCATTAAACATATTAGTGGTTCTATAGAGGGCTAAAGAGATGGCTCAGCAGTTAAGAGCACTGGTTGCTCTTGCAGAGGACCCAGGTTTGATTCTCAGCACTTACATAGCGGCTGACAACTGTCCGGTAACTCCAGTTCCAGGGGAATCTGATGTCCTCTTCTGATCTCCGCAGGCACTGCACGACAAGGGTACACTTACACACATGCAGGCAATACACTCGTACAAATAAATAAAAATAACACTCATAAAAATAAATTTAAAAAAATTTTAAAAACATATTAGTGTTTAATAGACAGTTACATAGCACAATGCCTTGCACTGTGTAGAGGCTCAATAAGGATTTACGAAACGAATACTAACACTAAAACCAATGACCCAGAATAGAACTACCTCTGTGTAAATGAGACCAAGACCCAAGTGAAAAGCCTAACAAAACTGAAACCTATTTTTGATATAACTGTATTATTTTTTCTGAGGTAAAACTCAATGTTTACAAAAATAATCCTATAGGAATGACTTTTAATTAACCTTGGCAAACTCACTGAATCATACACTCTTGTGACCTGGGCACCTGACCCTGATTCCTGGGAACTTCAGTTTGCTATTCCATCCCAAGATAGTGATGAATGTGGGTATGCTTGAGAATTAACATATCAAAGAGCCAAAATTTGGTGACATTAATTCTTCTCATTGATGAACACAGGATATCTTTCCTTTTACTTGTGTCTTCTTCAATTTCCTTTATCAGTGTTTTGTAATTTTGAATGTCAGACCTTTCACCTCCTTATTTAATTTATTTCTGTATGCACTCTATGGTTAAAGTTTCACCTTTTCTGATGCCATGGTAAATGGACTGTTTTCTTGAGTTCCTTTTCCCACTAGTATGTAGTTGAGGTTCTGTAAGTATATAATCACTGTCCCAATTACTCAGCATGGCCACTGCAGCATTAAAGCAGATAATATATAAAGGAATGTGGCTATGTTGCAATAAAACTTAAAATGAAATCTGAATTTCATTTGATCATAATCTATCATAATATATTTCCTTTTGATTGTTTTCCCAACTACTAAAAATGTTTTAAACATCTTGGCAAATAATTATATGAAAGTAGGTAGTATGCTGGATTTGAAACAACTGCTCTAGATTGCTGAACGCTGTTCTATTTAATTTCCTTCAACAACTTCCATGGACACAAAAAAGAACCCGAAAAGACCCCTGTCAAAAATCTAGTTCCAGAGGATCTGATACCCTCTTTTGTGGGCACTGCATAACATAGGTGCACTTACATACATGCAGGCAATACACTCATATACATAAAATAAAAATAAATAAATAGGGGCTGGAGATACGGCTCAGTGGTTAAGAGCACTGACTGCTCTTGCAGAGGACCTGGGTTTGATTCCCAGCACCCACATGATGGCTAACAACCATCAGCTCCAGGGCAATCTGACACCCTCTTCTGACCTCCACAGGCATTGCACAGCATGGGTGCACTTACATACATGGAGGCAATATACTAATACACATAAAAATAAATAAATAAATAAATTTTAAAATTCTGCTAGAGGGGAAAAAGAACAAATGAGTTAAAAAGCATAATGATGCATATGTATAATCACACCATGATGAAACCCATTACTTCATATCTTCACCGAAAAAATTTAATTTAAAAAGTCACCACTACAAAGCTGGCAAGATGGCCCAGCAGGTAAAGGTACTTGCTGCCAAGCCTGATGGCCTGACTTAAATTCCCAGATCCCACATGTTTAAAAGGAAGGAACTGATTCTCACAAGCTGTCCTCTGAACTTCAAATCTGTGTCATCATGGCATGTGCACTCTGGTCCCAGACACACCTACAAATAAATGTAATTTTAAAATATTAAAAAGAAAAAAATCTCTACTAGCACCATCAAAAAATTACAACACAACAAATAAAAAAACGTGCAGATTTCCCCTCCTCAAATATTTTTCCCTTTACCTACTAATTTTTATATTTGGGGGCTATAACATCAGCAGCAAGTCCTATTTAACAAAAATTCTTCATAGAGTTTGGAATGCTTATTGAGGCAAACTTCTCTGAAGTCACTGATCTGTTTAACTTTTGTCAACATGCTTTTGGTCCACATGAAACTTAGTCACTGCTCCTTCAGTTTTCGTTAAGTGGTATGCAAGTTCATTCTGCTTGCTAATAAAGTAACAAAGAATTACAAAGACATTGACAATTAAAATCAATGACCTAGCATGTACAAAGTTCTGTGTTCAATTGCCAGCATCACAGAAGTTAAAGAATGCCTATAACGCTGGGTGTGGTGGCACACACCTTTAATCCCAGCACCCTGGAGGCAGAGAATCTCTGTGGTTCAGGGACAGCCTGGTCCAGGAAGACCCTGTCTCAAAAAGAAAAAACAAAACAGGACTATAGTATGAAAGTCAGAACTAACTTGTTTTCAATAATGAAACTAAAGGGACAAATACCAACTATTTTCAGACTGAGTGAATTTATTAAGCACACATTTAATAATGAATTATTTCCCTGGGCTAAGAACTTGAGAACTTTAGCAAATTCCTATCACTGTTTCACTACTAAGATTTTCAGCCTATCATGTGCATGCCAAGAGACTTTATCACACAGAATCCTCTGTAGCTGGAATGCTGAGATAATGTGAAAAAAGTCAAAGAATGTGGAATTGGACCTATTTTCTGATACTTTGCAGATTCAGGTTTAGGTAATATAATAGCCTTACTCTTTGTGTTTCATAGAAGAGAATCCTCAACCATATTTCTAACTCTCAGTTCCACAGCTGGACAATTTCAATTTGTTTAGTTATATTTTCCTATAAATGCTCATTTATGTTTGTTGCTTTCTATGGATGTGTCAGATTGCTACCAATGACTAAAGTACCTAGAAACTTACCCGAAACCCATGGAAGACAGTATTTTCATTTTTGTGGTTCATTCTACAAGGCTTACTATACAGGTCATATTCAAACAAATGATTCTCAATTGTGTTCCTCATTAGCACAAGAATGAAAAAGAGTACTAAAGAATTATTTGGTTTTGTGAATTTTAAATTCCCTTTAGTTTATCCCTTTAGACTCTCTCCAACAAACTGACTGCTCATTTCTACTATAGAAATAGGTAAAATACAGGCATCTGATGTAATTCTAACAGCAATCCAATATTCCTCTCAACATGGCAGCTTTTCTGTCTCCTTGCTAACCTGTTTTGTTGCTCTTTTATGTGTTTATTGATTTCTTTTTCTTTTGCCCATTATTAATTGCTCCTTTAGTACTGCTCATGGTGCTGAAGCCTGAGAAGGGTGCTAGCCCACATTCCATTATCTCCTCATAGTGTAACTGAAGAGAAACGACACAGAATGCAACTATTTCTGATAGCACTACTATTGCTCAAACCAACTGAATTAGCTCCTCAAATGGAAAGGGGGGGTGGTGATTCCAAAAGACACTGCAAACTCACCCTCGAAACATACACATAGAAAAATGTCTTAATTTTGCTCCCTCTCATTTTTTCTATAGATCTATTTAAGCCCTGAAAATCTGTCAGTTTTTTCTAAAAATATCAACTCTTCTTTTCAACTGCACTTCAAAAATTCCAAAAGGTGACCATAATTCATACAATAGTTAGAACACTTGTTTTCACATAAATACCAGGAAAGAATCTGACAGCTCTCCTAGAAGCATTTTAAGAGCTGTATTTTTAAAGCTGCCTTGAAAAGAAGCACCTAGAGCCTTGAAGTCACTTTAACAGTAAACAAAGCTTGGTCCATGGAGATAGTCCAGTAGGTAAAAACACTTGCTGCTCAAGCCTAATGATCCAAGTTTGATCCCAGGAACCCATGTAAAAAACCAAGGCTCCCATCTGTCATCCAGGCATTCCTACAGTGAGATGAGAGGTGGAAACAGGAGAATCACCCAGAAACTTGCAGGCTAGTTTATCCTGGAATACCCTGCTTCAACAAAGTGGACGGTAAAAAGCAACTTCCCAAAGTTGTCCTCTGACCTCTACATGCACACCACGGCATGTACTCAGGTTTCTCCTCTCTCTCTCTCTCTCTCTCTCTCTTCCTCCCTCCCTCCCTCCCTCCCTCTGTTTCTCTCTGCTTCCATGCACATCTGTCTGCTTCATACACACAATTAATTTTTTTTAATGAGTAAGCAAACCTTGCCATAAATTGTCCCACCAATCTTGTCAAATGGTACTTCCTGTTGCAATATAAAAAGGGTTTTATCTTACATACTGTCCTAGTCTGTTTCTCCATTGCTGTGACAAAACACTCTGATCAATATCAACTTGGGGAGGAAAAGGTTTATTTAGCTTACATCTCGTGGGTCACAGTTTATCAGGGAGACCAAGGTAGGAACTCAGGGCAAGAAACTGGAGGCAGGGGCTGGAGCACAGGCCATGGAGGAACGCTGCTTACTGGCTTGCTCCCCTGGCCCCTGCTCAGCCTGCTTTCTTATGCAACACAGGCCCACCTGCCCGGGGTGGCACCACCCACAGTGGGCTGGACCCTCCCACATCACTACTCAACAATCAAGAAGGTGCCCCATGGACACAGCCACAGGCTAGTCCAATGAAGGAAATTCCCCAGTTGAGGCTCCCTCAACCCAGGTGTGTCAAGTTGACACTAAAGCTATCCAACACACATACTGCGCATAACAAAGATTTCAAAACACACAATACTTACACTTTTAGAGTTCAGCCCCAAACTGAAAGATATAGAAATAAATGTCACAGCAAGACAAATGTTATGATGAGACAGTATCTTGACTGCCTTACTACCATCATCTAACCTAAAAAGAACATGTTGATTTTAGTTCATTCCAGGGATGCTTAGTCCAGAACAGTATAGCAAGTCTACTTAAGAACAAAGTATTTTATCACTTACCATATTTTCATTTTGGTCTTGGCTTGCTAAGGTATGTTTACATTATACAGAATGTCTACTTGGAATAGGTAGTCTATAATTATTTTTAGTAGAAACAGCTGTGGCCACTATTCCTTAAGCACATACTAATCGGCTGGCCTAAGGTGCGATACCATATTATCTCATTTCTTAAGATAACCCTATGAGGTAGGTACTATTAGTGTTGTTGTTATTCCTATTTTAAAGACAAGAAGCTCAGGGTCAGGGGCCCCTCAAGTCCACACAGCTAACAAGTGGTAGACTGGAGATGCCCATTCCTAACACTATCAGTACTAACAATATCAGCAATATCAGTAGACCCAGTGAATTTAGTAACTGTCATCTTGCAGCATCTAGGTTGATTTTTTTCTGTTAATAAGGCACATGTTTTCTTGTTTCTTTTTTGGTGCATCAGTACAACTGTGATGCTAAGAACATGGTAGTGAGCCGAGTATGGCGGCACATGCCTTTAACCTTAGCACTCTGCAGGCAAGAGCAGGTGGATATCTGTGAGTTCAGCCGGAGCTACACAGGAGACCCTGTCTCAAAATCAGAACAAGAAACAAACAAACAAACAAAAACCCATGATAGTGATGTACCTGCACTGCTTCATATTTAGCCTTTCATTAAAGCAGTAATCAATCTTGCAAAAACTGTCAGATATGAATCAACTTTTGCTGAACTCTGGAATCTAATGAAAAACTAAAAGCAACCAGGACTATATAATGAAAAAAGAAGTTGTTAAAATTCAGAATACAGTGTTAACATATTTGTGCTTACTCACATGCAAGCCTCATCCTCCATGAACATGCCAGCCCACATTTTAGGCACGGTAGTGGTACCAGAGAAGAGAACAGGGACCCTGTTCTCAAAGGATAGTGAGAACTTGCATTTTTGGCAGCTTCCTTGTTTTGTATGATCAAAATTAAACTGAACCTACACTGGCTTTCCATGGGTCACTGGTTGAAATTATAGAAGGACATGTGCCTAAGGCAAGAAGGTGACAGTAAAAACCCTAGAAATGAAGAAGCTACAAGAAGAGATCTGGGAGCATAAGGTCTTTGAAAAGAAAAGGAAATAGTAGTTATAAAGCTAACAATAAAGGAACACACAAGTATATGTGTTATCATCTATTTAATATGAGGCCAAGAAAAAAAGTGAAATGTAATATTTATAAAACTAAGAAATTAAATATGCCAAAGATTAAAGATGAAAGAGTTTACATTGGAAGAGCCCATAAAGCGCCAAGAGGAGAAATAAAAAACAAAAATCTATCACCTGGATATATCCACAATAAAACTGAAAAGTATCAAAGTAAAACAATATCTTCTAAAAATACTCTAGAAAACATAAATAACATTATGAGGTAAAGAGAACCAGATGGACACTAGGCTTCTCAGTAAATAAATAAGAAATAAGAAAAGAAAGGAGGAGGACTTTTCAAAGTACTGAATAAAAAAATGTTGAACACAGAAATTTTTGTGTAGGGCTGTTTGTTTATTTGAGATCTCCTGCCTCAGGCCCCAAGTACTGGTATTATAAGCATGTGCAACCATGCCTGACTGATTCCAGAGTTTTAATACAATCAAACTGTCTTTCTAATATGATGGCATTCAGAGCACAAAATTTACACAGATGTGGTCAGTTTTTAAAAAATATAAATCATCAAGTTATATGTTACAATGTCTACAGTTTCTACACATACAGTCCAATAGTGTTAAAAAATCATTTGACAAGGAATATGATAGGGCAGGGCAGTGGAATTACAGCCTCAGCCACATATCAAGTTCAAAGCCAGTCTCAGCTATGTGAGACCCTGTCTCAAAAGCCTAAAAAAGCAAAAACAAGCAAACAAAAAAAGAATGGCAGCCCTGTAAACAAGGGATATAACAGAATGACCTATTTATAAATCAGATGAAAAGTAAA